AAGCAGCTTTTGGATAAAGCAGAAAGGCAACAGCATCACACCACAAACACTGACAGGGGAGTGTCTATTCACACGGGTTTGTAGTGACAGGATGAGGGGTAATGGCTTTAAGCTAGAAAAGGGTAGATTTAGGCTAGACGTCAGGAAAAAGTTCTTCAGTATGAGGGTGATAGACAACTGGAATAGGTTGCCTAGACAGGTGGTGGAGGCCCCGTCCCTGGAGACATTCAAGATCAGGCTGGATGAAGCTCTGAGTAGCTTGATCTAGTTGGAGATGTCCCTGCTTATTGCAGGGTGGTTGGACTAGATCACCTTTGGAGGTCCATTGCAGCCCAGACATTCTACGGTTCTATGAGATACAGTGCAAATATAGTAGCACCTCAGAGTAAATCACTATAAGGTGAAGTGGTGACAAATAGGATGGAAACACTTTATTCTTTCTCCTGTTGCCAACAGGTCACTTTGGGTTTGCTACAGGGTAAAAGCTCTTGCGTGAAAAGAAACCTGGGTACAGATGCGAGTCACTCGGCTGCACAGTCCATCTGCAAAACTACTTCAAGCAGAGCTTTGGTGTGCGTCCTGGTGTGGATCAGCAGTGTCCTCCTCCGGTACCTTTCCTTCTCCTTTTACACCAGACAAGGCCAACACCCAACCACCATGACAAGGCATGCCAAAAATACAAAGGGTTACAGGTTTTGCAACAGGTATGCCTATATCAATAATAAATGTAAGGCCAAAAGTAATTAGGAGTGACATTATTACTACTTTAAATAGCACCAAGGAAATCTGATTACCAAACAAGAATCCACAAAGCTATTTACCCTATCCATTTCCATGTAGTACCTATAGTTTTTATATAACTCTCATCTGGGTGCGTGGTGTTTTTTCCATTCCTAGCTTTCAAGATGAGAAATTGAGCCATCTCTATGTGTGCAGAACAGTAGTAAGTCACTGACAAACTGATAGACAGTTCAGTTCTGAAATAAATTCAGCTGTTACCTAGCTGTTAACATCAAACAATTTCATACTGATACAGCTAAAAAGAAAATTTTAATTTTAGACAGTGTAACAGCACTTGATACAGTAGGTTTTCCTGAGAGAACTCATCAGACCATAGCCAAGAAAAATTCAGTCTCCTCTGCTTTCTGTTATTACCCAGCAACAAGCTATAGAACATTTTAAAATGCTACCCCGTGGTTTTGTATATTACGAGATGTACAAAGTTCTTTGAGAAAGACTTGCTTCAAAAGGACTAAGCTTAATCATTCATAATTGTTCATAATCTGTATGATTTGCAGAAAAGCGTTTGATGCATTAAGGACCAGAAAAGAACAACACTGGTAGAGAAAGGGTTCTGCACCCTGATGCTCCTTTACTTCAGAGCCCATGTGCCACAGACAGCATTAAATTACTCTCAGCAATAGACAATGACAATAGACAGAACATTACACGACATCGCTCCTTTGGCTCAAGGTAATTCCAGTTTGTTACGGAACAGTTGCGCAAACTCTCCCAAGACATGGCCGAAAACAACCACCTCAACATCCCGTAGCTGAAAAGACTAGTAACAAATTGGCAAAGGAAATTTAGATTGCACACCCCCTACATAGTTTTATTTCTTGTGCAGTTTGAAACAGCGTCAGTATAACTTTGGTATTCAAAGGCTTAGTTGGGAGGGCAGCTGGAAGTCCACAGTTCTCCAAGGTGAGCCGTCTTAAAAGGCATCCATTTCCAACACCTCCAAACAAAATAATTTGTTTGAAACAAAACCAAAGGAATTTGTTTTGAAATGTTTCATGTTGCAGCACACCCAAGTTACAGTTGTGGCCTCATAGTGATGTTAGTAGCAGGAGTAGTAACAAAATCATGCTGAGAGATGATGAGGTACCATAGCAATAGCTGCAGGGAAAGTCAAGGTCATTTTTAAAGGAATGCTCTGGGAACATCAGCTTTTGGAGAACTTTCTGTTGCCTGGCCTAGTCAAAACCCTCCCAGGGGTTTTATTGTTCCCTTCTTAAGCAGAATATTATTTAAGATAATTTTTCCAGTAAGAGCAATCATCCACTGGAACAACCTCCCCAGGGACATGGTGGGGTCTCTCTGTCTCTGGAGGTTATTAAAGATGCAATTGGACTAGATAATTGTTAGATAACCCCATCTAGGCTTCCTTTCAAAAACACCCTTTCTTTTGAGGTCACTTCCAACCTGGGCTGTTCTGTGATCCTGTGATTTTGGGGATACTGAGAGACTGAAGAGAGACATTTATTTTCTACCATGACCACCAACATGCAACCGTTTACTGTGTGATGGTTCCTCTTTACATCAGGTAGACTCAATCATTACCAGAGAGGTGAGGTGGCCCTTGCCTGGATGGGATTAAGCAGGCCAGCTAGTGTGGGAGGGATGCTAGGCAGCATAAGAGTACAGAACAGCAGAGGATCACGTTAGGGTAAAGAGGTTTTGTGAAGTGAGGGAGGTCTCTATAATGGTTGATTACCTCCATATGCAATTCTTATCAAATAGGCAACTACATGTTAAAATGATTCACTCAGGTTGATCCAATGCATTACGAATGTTACTATCAGTAGTATTAACATAGAGCAGATGTACTCACTCTGCAGCTAAGGCTTAATCACTATTTACATATGCCTAAACAAACCCCTGATCTTGTAGAAACTCCACATACAGCACTGTAACCCTCCCTGTATGTACACATATATGGTGGTTTTTGTTTTGTTTTGTTTTGTTTTTTTATGTTAGCCATCTTTTATTTACCATAACAACTTGACCTAGGACCTCTCCATTTGCTTTCCTTCCTTTTTTGTTTTTCCTCCTCCAAAATACCCTGCCAAAAGATAACCAACTGGGCACCAAACACAGTGTGTGTTGGGGAAACCTTTCAAGTACATAAACAATATATTTAATAAATAAAACATAAGCTTCCTCTTGACTAGTGGATTTAGTGTGATAGGAAAGAATTTGTGAACAGGAAAGCTGAGGAGAAACTTAACCGGCTCAAGTCAGTGGTAAAATAACCTAAGTGACAGAGGGGCACAACACTCCCTTCTCAGGACATCGAGAGGCTCATAAAATTACAGGATCTCATGGTACCGTGTGGAAAGGATCTGAGGAAGACAAGGGGCAGTAAATACAAGGGGGAACGAAAAATTCTCTTTCCCACACCAGCAGAAGATATTTTCTCTTTCTGATATACATCCTTTTCCCACCAAATACAGATCCCTCCCATGCAGACATTTTACAGGCTTCCTGAGATTTACAGAAAAGTGGTTCTGCTCCTCCAACACCCAAAATCTGTCACCAGAAACCCCTCTGCTATACATGTCCTCTTACAACTGAGCTTTAGACAGAGCCTAGCATAGTGAGCCTCTGGCCACTGCTATGGCACCAACAAAACCATTGGCGGTTAACTTTAATATCCAGACATTTATACTTTGGAAGAATTTTTTGTAGAGATTATAAGGCATCCTTTAGGGGTCAAGTAGTCCATGTTAATACAGACTTTCAAAGCTGAAGTCATTCCTCCTCATATTTTTGTTAACACATTGATCATTTCCATAAATACAATAGGCACACAAGAGTTCTACAGCCATCAATCTATCTTCAGCACCAAGCACAGCAGCTGCTTTATCCACAGCAAAAACCTTCACCATGGTTCTGTGGCTCAGTGTGCTGCCCCAAAGGACCCTGTTCTTCAGCCACAGCTGGAAGGACAGGTTTGCCTTTCAGGATTCCAGGCAACAACAACAACTCTTTTTTTTTTTTTTAGTTTATTCCTTTTTGATACCAGCTGCTTTTTCTCTGATACTATCTTCTTGACATGCAAAACTCCAGCCTGCACATCAAAGTATGGAGAATGGAATGAAAGTGTAGGATCAGCAGTGATGTATTTGACCCAACCCACTATTTATATCCCCAACAATCATGCAAACCGTGCCCACTATACACTAGAGCACACTGCCTCCATGTGGCAGAACATGCTTCAGACATTCTCTGTTCTTGCATTCCACAGTCTTGTGCGTGGCTATGAATTTTGGAAATAGTTTTGGAAACAGAATAGAATCCATATGTTATTTCTGTGAGAAAAGGCAATCTGGGGATGAAAAAATTAATCATATTGATAACTGTTTTTCACACAAATACTCACCAGGAACACACAGTAAAGTACAAAGTCTATATATATATGTGTGTATATATATATAAAAAGAATGCTTTCTCAAGTGTTTATTACACGATGAAAGAAGACTAATTGAAAAAAATTCACATCCTGCACTTGATCAAAGGAGACCCATTGCTCTTCAGACCTACTACCTAAAAGCAAAATTGAAAGAGCAGATTTGATAAATTACATAAAACTGTATCACATTCTTTTTTTTTCCAGTTTATAACTGGTTTGATTCAAACTTGACTAGAAGACCATAAAAGTTGCTTTAGCGTTAGACCAGCTATCTGATTCAAGTAGCACTAACACTGTGCTATGGGTATAGGGTTTTTCCCATGACTAAAATGGAAATACTTTGTGAAATTCATGTATTTTCTTCCACACCACGCTCACCCCCCCGCAAAGCCCCAACCTCCACCTACTTTATCAATGTTGTTAGATATGAGACCTAAAGAAGATAAAAAACAAGACAATTATTGGTTTGCCCATTTGTGTCTTCACATTCCAGTCTTTACCAGCTGATCACAAATGCATTCCACCCCACTGTGAACAAGGCCTTCTCCCATAATTCCCAGACTGGAAAGAAGTGACACGGTATGGCTGCAAGGGTTTTGTAAATCACCAGTGCCGTAACATTTAGGATTTCCCTGCTTTGGTTATGATACATTATGATGCTCCTGTCAAATCTCAATCTTACTGCATGAAATACACAGTGCAAGGGGGTGAGAAATTTACGCTGCGATTTTTTTCCTTCCTCCTTTTGTTAAGACAGTGCAAGGTCTAGGGACAGTGTGAGACACTCACCATGAGGGTGTTGCAGGGTGCTATGCCAATTTCACCTTACATTTCATTGTATAAACATTTTCGTATCTCTGTTTGGTATCCATTAGAAATTTTTCCATATGTCTGTGCGGGTTTTATTTCTCTATGTACTGTCCGTTTCAAGCCTTTCCCCAGTATAAATTAGTAGCTATACATCTGTTGTTGTTGTTGCTCTGTTTGAACCTGCTGCTGTCCCGACTGCTGTTGCGTTGGCTGCGCCTGGGGCTGCAAGACGTCAGTCTGAGGCACTGACCTCCAGGTCAGAGGATGCTGTTCCGTTATCTGGTTGCCCAGAGGAGCAATGGAGTTCACCAGGGTGGTCAGGTTTATGAAATGGGCCACAGACTGAGGATTGGTTGCCTCCGGCTGCGGCTGGATCTGAATGTCACTCTGGCGGTTGTGCAGCATGGCGGAACCGCTGACGGTGTCGAACGTCACGGTGAGGATGGAGTTGTCCAGCTGTAGCTGGCGCTCGGGGGCAGCCAGGTGGCCCACGGCCACCGGCTGGAGGTTTGTGAACTGGGTCCCAGCTGCCGTCGTTATGGGAGTAACAGTGATATTTGTCAGCCCGACAGAGCTGGAAGGGGCTGTGACGTTTGGATCGCCCAGGGTCACCACCACCTGAGGAGAAACAGAAAGGTAGCCTCAGCCTTTTACCTTGCAGCTGACTACCTAATACTGAGCACCCAGAAAGATCACCAGAGTACTGATGGGCACACATGTTGCTACTGCCAGCAAGAAAAAGTCATATGCACAGAAGGGAACATGAAAAGTTTAGAATGTAACAACTGTCATGTACAGAAACAGGAAGGCAATGGGAGGGAGACACATGCAACATTCAGAACAAGCAGCCAAATTCTCTTTCACACTTTTAGTTGCAGTCTCAGTCACTTACTGGTGCCTGGGCAAATAAGGAGTTGGTAACACCAAAGGAAAAAAAAAAAAACAAACCAACATGAGGAGCTTAGTGGTCCAACTCATTTTATTTTCTTTCTTTTTCAAATCTCTATTCATCTTTGTGTTACCACAATTTATCAAACTAGCCTTAAATGGTCCAATTGCTCTTTTGTGTTTGCTATTAGGAAAAAAGAATTGTTATCCCTCTAAAGAATGCTTGCTGCCCATCACCCTGCTGCTGGAGCTCACCTGCTGGATGCTCTGTACAGCTGAATTCGTCTCATCTCCAACATTCCCTGTGAATTCACCTTCTTTCTCCGTGTATTCGCTGAAGGCAGGGTCCTCAGGCACTTGAGCTTCTTCCTCCTCGCCTGATTTCTGTTTCTGTTTCTGGCTACGTTTAAGAGCTTTCATATGCCTTTTCACCTCTGGTAATTCTCCTTGTTCCAAGGCTAATTCCGGCTGGAGCAACACATTTCCAAACAACACATCATGTCACTTTGCTTAGTGAAGTTCCAAGTAAGGGACTATCACCTGAAGTTGGTTTACTGTAGATTCTCAAGTGAAGAAGCAAACTTTAGCAAAAACTTGATTTTAGGGAGTGAGACCTCACCCTGTAACTCCCTCCATTTCACCAGCACCCACATTACAGAACAGCACAGATCAATGGCTTGCATCTGCCTACACATGTTAAGCTAGGGCTGACTCTCCAAAAAAGCACATTCCTTGGCCATCAGCTTACACCCAACTATGACAAGTACCGAAAAAGCCTTGTCCCCAGTTCACCCTCCAGCAGGCCTGGAACCTACCTGCCAACAGAACTCTGCAGTGGTGAATTTACCTGAACAATCCCAATTGAGGAGGCATCAATGGTAGTCGTCTCTGGCAGCTGCTCTAAATCATCAATCCTCACCGAAATAATCTGTGGGCAAAGAGGGATCAGTGGGTGCACTGCAGCAGTGCATGCCACAGTCAAACAATACAGCACTGCCCCAATAAACCCTGTCACAAAGCAAAAATTATGTAATCTAACACTTTACACATATTAATTAATACATGGGATTCAGCCATGGCTTTTAAAAACTAAATAACCTTATGGCCTATCGTACTTTCTTTCTCACCAAAACCCATCAAAATTTAAAGCTGACAGTAGAATACATTTATTCTCATATTTTAGACAGGAAACAATGCAGTGGGAAATGATGAATTTTATAGAAAATAATGTGTTTCAAAAAAATAAATTAGCATTTCTATTTATAAACCTATCAACTGTGTCCTACTCCATTACTTTCAGCTTAAGCTATACATCTCAGCCTATCAAAGAAGAGAGACAAATTGCCCTCTCCATTTCAGATATGTAGCTGCATTTTTAATAAAAAACTCAATGAACAAAGCTTTTTGTTGATTTCCTTGCCAGTCATGGTGATAAAAAATAGGGATGGTTCAAGGCAAAGCAATACTCATGATAAATTGGTAGGGGAAAAATAAAAACAGCCTCAAAGGGAATGGGCAAGTCTCTGTCAACCTAAACAAGGAATACTGAAGAGAAACACAATAGCTATTCAGAAATTTAGAACACAGAAAAAGTCCCACTGGGGTCAGACAAAAGATCCCTCTAATCCCCAATACTCTGCAGTCAGCATTCATCTTTAATACTAAGAATAATTTTGTATGATCAGCAGATGCTGCCATCACCTCTCTATTCACCGTAACTTTCAGATCACTTCTGAATACAGGGAACACAGCAAAGAAAAAGAATCAATTATACTCCCTAATGAACGAAGACAAAACATGAAAAAAATATATATTTTAGCTGAGGCATAAAAAGAGAAGGTATTTAAAATAATTAGAAGAATTTAATTTTTAGGGACTGACAATCAGATATGTTTACTAATGAAACATAACATAATGAACTGGCTGATTCAGTTAAGTGCATGCTTAACAGACACTACCTAAAACTGCCCCCAAAACAACTGGGGAAAAAAAAATAATTATTTTCAATTCACTGGAGGCCATAAACTTTATTTAAAAGAAAGAAATTTAAAAATAAACCAAACCACCCCACAATCTACCTCCCAAACTAACTCACCTCTGGATGTTTACGCCTCATATGTCGACTCATGGATGCTCTGGTAGAAACCTTTGTCCCACACAGCTGACAGCTCTGGGCTTCCACCTTATCATGAGTGAGTTGGATGTGCTTCTGAAGCATGTAATCAGTGACATATTTCTTATCACAGACTGAACATGTCCACTGTTTTCCTACTGGTGGAAGATGGAAGGAAACAGTTATGTTGGTAATGATGTGTAACAGTAACCCCGAGACTGGCAAGTCTAAAGCAAGCCTAGGAAGAAAATTAAGCTATGACCTTTGGATGCCATTTTTTGGAGGATTTTACCTGTATGAATCAACTTATGAGTCTCCATTGTATTTCTCTCACTAAACGTCTTGCCGCAGAGCTCGCACATGAAATCTTTGATTCCTGCATGAAGAGCACATTCAGCATCAGAGTGAAAACAGTCTAAGGTATCTACGACAATTCCAAGTCTCGTATTACTAAAAAAACTAGAAATAAATCACAGCCAAACAGGTAGAAGAAGCCCAACTTTACTAGCTATTTTTATCCAAGCCATGCCACTGTATCAAGCAGAAAACAGATCCAAGACGAAATGATGTGGGAGGTAAAATTTTGTTGTGGGAAATGAGAACCTGAAGAATAACTTAAAACAAAACCAACCCTCCAGACCTACCCTACACCAAACCCACGTCCCTTCAAAAAATCAAAACTTGAAATCTACACATCTTAATTGTATAAAAAGTGGCTTTGGCTGCCATGAGGACAAAATCTCACTTTTCAAAAAGCAGAATATGCATATTTTAAAATTAGTGTTCCTCATACATTCTGACTGCTCTAGGTAAGAGTTCTCTCAGAAAGCATTTCACTAATCCAGTGCAATTCCTGTGTGTCTTCAGAGAACTCACCCGTGTGTCTTTTGTAATGCTTCAGCATGTTGACTTTCTGTGCAAATTTTCGGTGACACTCCTTGCATTCATATTCTTTAATCCCTTTGTGAAGCTTCATGTGGTGACGAAGTGCATGCTTTGTCTTCATTCCTGGGAGACAAAAAGTACAGCACAATTATCAGTCCATTGCTCCCACCTTTAGAGGAGAACTCGGGATCATCACCTTGTTAAGCCAAGATCTATCAGATTCTATCTGCTGTGTGCCCACAGCTGCACGTTTTTAATTGTTTAGGTGGCAGTGCATGTTACCGTTATTAATTTCATTCTGGGCAGAAGCTCTGGAGAACATCTCAGTACTACTGAGGAAGAAGCAAAGCAGTAGGGACAAGCAAAGAGAAAACACTCTTTGAGATGTTAGACTTGACTACTCTGCACTAACATACCAGTTCAGATTTGTCCAAGTTATAACGCAAACAATTCAAAAAGTCAGAGCAGCTCTGACTCTTAGTGCTCTTAGAGAGAGAAAATATTCAATTTCTTAAGCCTGAAAACAGACGAAAATAGGAAAAATAACTTGTATTCACTTTTGTGCTGCAAATGCACTGGAACTCAGTCAGACAAGTGCTCCTCAATCCCACTGAAGCAAATTCTGCAGAAACCAGTTTTGTCTTACAGGCCATGAAAAGATACTGTACAAAATGAGGGGTAGTTTACGTTTCCATAAGGCTCCCGACTGGTATGTTTTCTGCCTCGCAAAAATGCAAGATTTACAGCATTCCAAGAACCCTTCCAATATTCTAAGAATGGGAGTAGTTTTAATTCAGATATTCACCTGCTACTCAGTATCACAACCAAGGGAAAACAAGGCATTAGACATACCTTTGCCACATTCTGCACACAAGTATTCTCGGATATTATCATGGACTCGCATATGTTCTTTTAACATGTCTTTTCTAGCAAATGATTTGCCACATTGCTCACAAGCATGACTTTTTACACCTTAAAAATAAATGTAAAAAAGACAACATAAACAAAAAAATGTTAATGAAAAATGTGCATCTCCTCAGAACTGACCAAACTGATGAATTAGAGTCCACCTGTGTTTTCAACCACATCTTTCATGCATATTGTGGTCCAAGCTAAACTAGAAGACTTTGGGGAGAGTAAGGCTGGCTTTTTGTGTGAGATCTGAAGGAAAAAAAGACAAAGCCTGAAGTAGGAAAATACTGAACAGCATGAAATAACAATGAGTTGTTAAAAATGATTTTGCAATAGCAGTTTTCAGCCTGTGTAATGGTGAGAAGATGGCATGGATAAGAATTTGGGGAAGAAGAGAACACAGAATTAGGATTTTTAGCAGGTGAATCCTGCATCATATTAACTTGGAATCTGGATTGTGTGCCTACAGTAAATTTCTTCATTAATACTATCTGCTGTAGAAAACTGGTCTACCCTAAAAGCATAAATATAACATTTTTCTTATAGTAGCTTAGGGTAAAAACCCTTATTTCCTCCTGAAAACCATATGGCATGTACTGCAAACAGAAATGTCTTTTTAATACAGATCATAATAAACACAACATTTTTACCTGTGTGGATAAGTTTATGTCTTTCCAGATTTCCTATACTGTTAAAAATCCTTCCACAGATTTCACATGGATGTATGTACCTGAAAACAAAGAGACCAAAAACTACCATTCTTTTCTTGAAATAGCTGGTTTTCAGCTATCTCTGTCAGTAGCTGTTTAATTTGGTAATACTAGTTACTATTAAAAGTTCCTTGAAACAAATGCATTTTTAAAATGAGCCTTAAGAAACCCTAAGTTCACTGAAAGCTCAGAGCAGTCTAGCATTGCCCAAATCACAATATTTTAGAAAATATTTACCAAAATCACAGATTGGAACTTTATAAAGGCCAGACTGTGATGCTGTTGACTAATCACCTTTGTGAAACAAACTATTAGTGATATATATGTATTTCAAGCTTTTAATAAAACTTTTAACACTCCTTATACGGTTTCAGATCTTGTTTTAATACAGCTCCATTCTCTAAAAGCACCAGGTGGCTGAGCCACTGTAACTTCAAAAAAATAGCTCCTCTTATCAGTCCAAGATGACAGCTTACTTCTGCACGTTAGGATCAGGCAGGTTCTCCCGATGAATGACCATGTGAGCGTGGTAAGTTGCCTTCAAGGCAAAACGTCGGTTACAAATGCTACAGCCATAGCCCTTCTCCTTGTGGACGTCCATGATGTGCTTCAGGTACTCCTTCCCTCTGCCAAAAGTCAACTGTGGAATGAACCAATCGTGAATGAAAGGGGAAAAAAGTCCTCGGGAACAGCAACAACCTAGAAACACATCACCTGGGTACAGAGTCAGAGCTAGCAGATGTAAATATCCTGTGTATCACTAGGTGACAAAGCTGTGACAGCTGGATTTAGGCCTGAAGTTCTTTGGCTGTTACAAGCACATTGTTACAGGACATCAGTTAACTCACTTGGAAAACAAACTTGAGGAGGCATCTCTGCTTCTTACACTGCACAAGAAGAGGACTCCACCTATGTCAATGGATGAACAGCCTTGAAGAGATCCATGTCTAACCACCACTAGCTGTCAAAGCAAGGATGCCATCGATGGAGAAAATGTCTTCTGGGCTCTAAGGACATGGTAAGCTCTAGTCTGCACAGTCAGCTTTAGCACCTGCTCCAGAAGAGGTGGCACTTCTAGGCACTGCAGGGCAGCAGTTCTAGCCCAGCTCTTAGAAGTGATACAAGTACCAGAGCCAGGTGCTCCACTGCTTAGCTCCCTGGGCTAAGGAACCCTGCAAAAACGCTCCGGCATAGCAAGGCAGAGTACCATAATGGCATGACTTTGTGCTCCAGTTTTGGAACTAACCAGCGCATTTCTCACAGCACTGCACAGCTTGGTGAAGGTGTACTTTGGGATGAGAAAAAACTAAAGAGAGAGATCCTTAAGAGCTCTGAAGAGCTATTTCACTAGGACTCAGTCGTATGTTGTTCTCCCTTGGAAATGCATGAACAGGTATCTCCAGCCAAAAAGAGCTTCCCTGTCTCATCTCAGGCAACACTGATTTTCCACAGCTGTTGCCTTACACAGCTGCTTACCTCACAAACACCTGCAAAAGTGCTAACACCCCCAGCTTCCATTGCCTTCCCTCATTTGGAAGCAAACCATTTTTTATAGTTCATGCACCTGCTAATCATCAGGTGTTAAAAACACCACATTGAAAGCAAGCACATGATTCACTGCTGGGATACCACATCTTCATATGCTTACTGACATAAGCTCAAGATCAGCTTGCACTTAAGACCAGTTCACAGATAAGAACAGAAAACTTCAGTATCATTATCTCTATGCCTTAAAAAAGAAGATAAGCTAAGGAATTTCACCACATTAAGTGCAGACTGTGAAATAAGCTCTGATTTCCAGGGGCCAAGTCAACTTAAATATCAAAATTCCAGCACACCGTGCTCGCCCAGTAAGGGCACAGAATCCAGACAGGCCTTAAGGACCCCGTTCTTCCCCACTACATCTTTACAAAATGGCAAACCCCACGCAGTAAGAGGTTTATAAAGTCTTCTTCACTCAGCTGACAACCGAGTAAAGTATGTGCCAGCAGTACTTCTAACACCATTCTGTTAGCAACAGAGCAGGCCAAGAAAAAGCAGTCACACTGAACAGCAATCTTAATCCTCCAGACTGGATATCCACTAGAAGAGAATCTGATTGCATCAAAATTAATACATTTGTCAACTGTATCATTCAGAAATGCTATGAAGATATTAATTTGCACATAATTAAAAGACAGGCTAAGATCAGAATGTTTCTTAATGGTTTCTTTCTCCAGCTTTGCTTGCTTGCCCCCTTGCACACAGCTAAGCCTATGTATGTATTTCTCTTCTTAAGTGTTTACCATTCACCTCACGGGACACTGCCTGAGACTTGTGGACTGGACTTCTCCTTGTAAACCCCTAAAGTTATTTAAAATTCTGATTGATTTATAGACTGCTCCAGCCCCTCCCCATCCCCAAACAAGTTAATCTGAAAGTATTTAAAGCTACCTGGCACCTTTTGCAGCTATACTTGTGAGGCTCAGAATCTGCACTTTCATCAGAGTTGTCATCATTTTCCTCTGAGGAGATTCCAATTTTACCAATGAACTCTTCTCTCTGGTGATCATCCATTAGTGCTATGTCCTGTGTAGGGTGGGAAAGCATATTCTGGTTTAATAGATTAAATTTCTATTTCAAAAGGTTACAGGCAGTCAGCTTTTTTTGCCATGCAGACTGCCTTGTGTTAACGATTACTGTAACATTATCTATTTAAACTACCCTCCTGCTTCATTCAATTCATGTAAACAAAGTTCCTCTATCCATGGCTACACAAGGAACAGCTATTTATCCAAACAAATAATACTCAGCTTTTTGTGTGTAAAAGGAACTTCAGTGTAAACAGAGACTCAACTAATAAAGAATTACACCCATCTTCATAAGCACCACTGAGCAATACAATTCCCTTTCAGTTCAATTCCTTAATTCAGTGTTCATCTGGTTACATCTGAATCATCTGGTTACATCTGATTAAGCACTATTCATGGTTTGAGGGTTTTTTTTTGTGATTTTTAACATTTTGATAGGACAAGTAAGGAATTCAATACACAGGCAGTTATGTTGGCATATACAAGAGAATCACAATCACTAGCATGGAAAGGGCAGGAACAATTAGTTCTCTTGGCTTGCCTTTTTTATTTTTTTCCCCGACAAAGAGAGGAGACCTCAGCCCAACCAAACTACAGCTGCTGGAACAATATATCTACCTGCAGCCTTCCTGTTAAGTCACTCTCCCTGCTTTACACCCAGTGACCTCTGTGATTCACCCGAAGTCACAGAGGTGGTTTTTCTACAGTGTTCAGAATAGTCTTCTGCAGTGGCAGCTGAAATAACTTCAAAGATGATACTCCACATACTCTGTAGCCATCCAGATGTAGAAACAGAGGCATGGGTAAACCAGAGCACAACTCATGCCAGGCTGCTTAGAAACATGACAGCACAGGGTACATAATCACTGCTGTGTTGCCACTGTGAACGTGTGGCCATAACAGCCTCAATAAGATCATTTCTATGTTTTTGTGTCTGCTAAGTAACGTGCTTTTTTAAACAAATTATTAATACATTACCTTAAAATGGACATGAATATGATCTCTCAACACATCCACCCTGAAAAATTTACGTCCACAGATTTCACAAGTGTATTTCTTGTCTCCGTGTGTTAAAAGGTGTTTGTTCATATTGCTCCTACATGAAAATACCTAAAACAAAAGAGGGAAGCAAGAGTGGTTTTATCACATCCAGCAGAGCTACAGCTCTTTGCAAGTTATCCGATGGACAGAACACAACATATTTACTGTCCTCTTTTACTCATTTGGGCCAAAAACATGTAAGAGCTCCTCTTAGCTATCCTGCTATCAGAAACTGCTGGCACAGCAAACTACAAGTGTGCAGTTCCAAGGAACTGACTGAAATCAGCTGTTCATCAGAAAGTGGACTTCCAAAAACGCTGCAGCAGATTTACACAGGGTAGAATTAGAAATATCTAATATCTAATGAATGTTCCACCCATCTATAAAAAGACACATCCAGAAAATCTACCTTCATTGATACGTAACATGTCCAAAGCATCAAAAAGCAACTTACAGAGATGCTTGAGTAAATCTTGCACCATGAATCATTAAGACATTTATAAAACTGTTAGTTAATCCCACAGTCTTTGTACCTGTGATAACAGCAATTTCACATCAGGAATGTTAAGCACTCAAACGCAAGAGTGCCATCACTACACCATAAATTCACTTTGATTTCTGAAAACTATTTCTAATAGAAAATTATCCCCAATGCACACAATCAGCTCCAGCTGTTTGCATCTCAGAAGAAAAACTTTAAATAACATAAGCTATGACATTTTACTGACAGACACAGTGGCCATGTTACACTGCATTGTCCTACATGTCCTGTAAAAAAAAAGTCTAACCCAAACTTCAGTTTTGTTCTATCTTTGTCTTAAGAGCTTCTTCCATCCGTGGCCACAGTGGACTTGGATATATACTGGAGCTAAGGCCATTCAAAGAGTAACAGCTCAGCCGGGTGACCGAGCTCGCTGGTAACTGACCACGTGCCTGTGTGAGCTGCAAGGTGACGTTCCTCACTGCAAGTTGTCCACCTCAATCCTTCAGCAGGCTGTGTGCCTATGCAGGCAGGCTGCTGTTGTGCTTTAACACACAGGTGTCAGGGTAACCTGTCTGGAGGTGCTGGGTTGAGGAGCATCATAGCCCTGGAGCAGTACTGTTGGAGCTCCCTGGCAGTGGCTCACACGGCAGATGCTGGCAGACACCCACCTTCCCACACACCGGGCATCCCGAAGGCTCCTTCTTGTAGCGCACCATGTTTTCTGTGCTGTGCTCAAAGTCTTCTCTTTTCACACGCCTCACCCCTTAACAGAACAGTCCCCATCAAAAAAACAAAACAAAAAAAATAAACCATGGTTTTCCACTCCAATCTGCGCACCCTTTCAGGTGAATACTGTGAAGAAGAGTGAAATGCTGGGAAAAGCCTCAATGCAGAATTTAATTGCTAACAAAAGGATAATTTTAAAATTAAAATAGTGTCTTTAACAATATAAAAGCAGTCTGCCAAAGCAATGGATCTCTGGTTATTAAACCAACTGTAAAGTGTCTGAAAACAGATGTTTATTGTCAACACCTGGAAACGGGCAAATCTAGCAGGCCTGGGCACTTCCATCAGGTATCCGGCCCAGAAGTTCCCTCTCTCAGTCTCTAAGGAGAGAGGCAACTATTAGCATCACCTTTAATGAGGAATTCAGGCCTCTTCCCTCATGAAAGCAGCAGAGAAAAAGGGCTGCTGCTGTTCTGTGACAACTAAACATGACAAGCTTTGCCATTGTCATTCAAACCCTTGTCCTCCAGTTCATACCACACAGGTCTGAATCGCAAGAGCAGCTCATGACAGTCAGCTACATCCAAAGCACCAAATTAGACGATGTCTGCTTTTTTAAAATCACCTTTGGTTTTATCATCTAGATCATTAGAGGCATTTTAGACATATTTCAGCAATCTACCATCACCCAAGTATTTGCATACCTATAACATCCTTAGATTTTTGAGATTTTGAGCAGCAAACTCTTGTAATCTCATTTTCATATATTCTCAAGGTTTGGAAAGATAACATCACACAGCATTTAATTTATACTATACTTATACAGTAGTCACTTTCAGTTGTACTTTGCCATTTACTTCTCTGTCTTCCAATTTTCAAGTTATCACACTTTTTTTTTAAACCAAAGACCAGAACTCAAAGAAAGAAAAAGATATAATTAAAATCAGCTAGTTGAAACTACTGCATGATAAGCTAAGCCACCTTCCAGTAGCATCGGATCAAATCATGTGGGGCTGAAAAAGAAGGAAGGTGCACCTCCTAAGAAGATTTTCCATAGAATCAGACAACTCCTCTCCAAGATCTGTTACTATTATTTTTAATGAATGTCACATTTTGACAAAACCTCCCAATTCCAGATCAGGTAACTGCCAAAAAAAAAAAAATTACAGCTACCATCCAGAACAACTTAATGCACAATAATTTCCTTAACCGTCCCAGCTCTACTGCTGTTTCAAGAGTATTATTTAGGTTGATTTGCAGTAAACTTACCTTCCAAGTGTCGTCTTTGATGGTCTAGCATGACATCCTTCCGGTAGAACATCTTATTGCAGATTTCGCACGCAAACTTCTTGTCTCCATGCTTTTTCTTGTGTTTTGAAAGATTACTGTTTGTAGAAAAGAATCTGAAACACATCTCACACTGGAATGTCTTGTCATCTGTAAGCAACAGAAATCGTGCAGCTCTTTACAGAGGAAAACAGGCTCTGTACGTTTGTGAGATGGGCAGTTTTGGTTAGACCTGAGTTTTAACATAATCCATCATTATATGGATTGAGGAGGGAAATGCAAAACCATGTATTTTTCCCTTTAGTAGATAATAAACAACCTGTCGATTTTATTTTTGTTACCTATGAGTTTAGCTATCACTGGAGGACATTTTTTAAAGGCAATAAATATATATGATACTAACTTGAACACTGACTCTTGCATCATAACTTCCTCACATGGTCTGCTTCCTAGCATACACTAAAATTATGTTTGGAGTGGATTCTGTTAGAGCTGGTGTCATGGTTACAGGGGCTGGGACCAGTTTATCCTTATGTGGGTAGAACCAAAAGCTGTGTATTCTATACTCTCTATGTCAGTGCTCATGGGCTGTTAAGAAAATCATGGGTAGCAGCTGCCCAGGACAGACCTCACACCCCAGGCTGTAACAGATAAGGAAAGAGGTCCGGGGAGACGTTAACACCTTCCCAGCCAGCAGGAGTCCTCCCTGTTAATGGGCCCATCCATGCCTTGCCCCATGACTCATACAGAGCTCCCCCCAGGAGCTATTTCTGTTTAATGGGCAATCAAGGACCCACTGCATGACTCACAGAATGATATCAACCCATTGTGAGATGCTCCACCCAGGGGGAGGAGCCAAGTGCTCCCACCTGGATATAAACTGGGGTTCAGAACAGCAGAGGAGGCCTTGCCCACTGGATTTCCAGAGGACAAGAGCTACCAGATCTTTCCTACGAGACCACTGCTTCATCTGGACTGCTACCACCACCCTAACTACAGAGTATCAGGTTGTATTCTGACTCTGCCCGTGGTTTTCCTTTGTATTATTGCATTTATTTTATTTTTTCCTATTAAATTGTATTTCTGACTTGGGAGTGTCTCACTGGTTTGTTTTCAAACCATTACAGTTGGGTTTAAGTTTTTAATGTTGGTAAAATACTCCATATACAGCAGCACAACATCACAGCTATGTCTAAGTGCCAGAATACTTCTGCCAGTACTGGTTCCTAGTACCACCCAGTACTCAATACTCTAGAAGGATAAAATTTCCAGACCATTATGCAATAATGGGCCTATGGAGAATTTGTTTTGTATTCAGTAGTTGAGTCTTTTGTTGGAAGATGAAAGCACAGTCCTGCCAATGCTACAGCAATTATAAAAGTAGTAACAGTTTGATGTGTTAGAGAGTAGAGCAAAAACTGCTGCTCATTTTGGTAACAGTCATCTCAGAGAAAAAATGAGCTGCTGCCTTTGAAAAAAACACAATACTGGTGTTACTTGGCATTACCTGCCAGTCTTCATAAGGCTGAGTTTTTAAACAAGCTGTACCCTCTGAAAAGAAATGAGAAAACCTACTTTGACTGATGCTGTAAGGGGCATTTACCCAGGTGATTCTGGACTGACAGTTATCACAGTAGTCTAAGCACAAAATCATTCAGCATAAATAATATGAGTTCTTACACGTTATTACAGAGTTATTACAGTATAAATAATATGAGTTATTACAAGTTATACAGAGTTATTAAAAGATATGGCAATGGAAGAAAAGGACAGGTTCTAGTGATAACATGGAAAAAAAAAAAAAACCCACAGAGACTACTGCAACTCTAAAGAGAGAAAGCAGAAGAAAACTGTAATCCCAGAAAACTGCCCCTCTTCCAGTTCCTCTTATTTCAGACAAATAAGGTGAAGAAACCCTGTCACCATCTCTTTGGCTATCTGTGAGCTTAAAAATTAAATACCAGTGAGGATATTAGAGAGGTGAGCAGGCGACAGTAAAAAAAGCAATATATAAGTGGATGTGTTGTTCTACAGACTACTGGCTATACTTTGCTTATCACAGCCATGAGGGAAGAGGGAAGGAGAAGGGCAGGTTGCTTCTTCTAACGATGGAAAAAAAAACTCTAAATGCTTACTCCTCCTTTGTAGTTACTATGCTGAGATGGCTTTGCAGACATGCTCCCCAAAGGGAGCAGAGGTGCCAGGAGCAGACCTGTTAGCCATTCTCACCTGTCCGGCAGTTATGGAACTCCAACGCACTCTCTATCCGAAAGGCCTTTTCACACGTCGTGCACTTGTACCTGTACTCACTGTCAACCTGAGGAGTGCAAGCAGCAGGTGTTTAAGAGGGGAAAAAAGCCAGGTCACTTCTGACACGGAAATCCTAAATCTCAACTACTTTTGCTGTTTCTATCTTCTCCAATTTGTCTTCCTCTGACAGAAGATTTAAATACCATTGATACAAAACTGTGATGCTGTCATCCTGCCATGCTCCTACATCTGAGCTCTACACAAAACAAGCAGACCATGCATCTGTGTGCATTTAACAGTCTTCCTGATAAACCCTAGTCTAACACAGAGACAGAATTTTTGAGAACCAAGATGTAATCTGACTCATCCTCCAGAGGAGATGCCAGCGCTCTGAGAGCCTAGGACCTTGATGCCAAGAAGCAACAGAAATATTCACTGATAAGGCCCCACTAGAGGTGTGTTTAATATTTATATGCCAGCAGCACTGAAAGGCCCTCACCAACAGGAATGGTGCTGCTGCCGTAAACAGTACAAACACACACAGCCCGCCCCTTAATGACACAGCCTTTCCCCAGAGAGTTCACACATTACATGACACTATAGGTGGGCATAAATGAAATAGGACAAGCAAACACGACTAGAACAACCCTATTTAGTACTATAAACTGAAGCCAGATCTCACATCTAGATCATGCAGGTCCAGCTAACTCCAGCTTGTCTTGCTGTAACTGTTGCCTGAAAACAACTTTCTATAGGAAATTCAGACACGAAAAAGGACTTGTGTGCTCAAAAGCGTGTTCACGCTTTGCAAATCCATTAAGTGTTTTAATAGATGTTACCTCTCCCTACCAGTCTTGTCTCACTTATTCACACAGATATCTGCTCACATATAACCGACCCAAGCTCCCCAGCTAGCACATTTTCATCTAACTCAGCCAGAGCCCGCTCGTCATCTCCACTCACTTCGTTCCTGCTGTGCTTGTAAGAAACGTGCTGCTTCAGGCTCTCCTTACGGCTGAACAGCTTCGCGCATTCCTCACATTTAAACAGCTTGTCACCTGAAGGGATCAGTCAAGATGAAATTAAAAAAAAGAAAGTCGTCAGTGACCGATAATAATGAACACCAGGCACGACAGGGGAAACCAAAGCACAAACAACTGCAAACAAGCAGGCTAGTGATGAGAAGTTTCAGTAATTTAGGAGATCCCATTAGTGTCTTTTAACCCTTTCCAACAATTTTGACAATTATTCTGTTTGGTTCTCTCACCATTTTTCAGTGATTATTTTTCACAGAATCCTTAGGTCATGGATACCTAGAACTGTACATCACAAGCTAAAAGACTCACTCAGCTGACATGTACACAGCAATGTTACCCGTGTTCCTGTGAAGGTGAGGGTGATATATATGTATATATCTAAAAGCAAGGATAGCTTTGGAAAAGCATCACATCCCTGCCACCATTTAAAAACATATACCCGAATTCAAATTTTAAATACTCTAACTTCAACTGTCATCATACAATCACACAACTACCTTCCCATATTTTGGTCTGCACAACTAAAAATTTCCTAGAAAGAGTCAAAAAAAAAAAAAAAGAGGAGTTCTCTTACGTATCCAAGTATCTAAAAATAGTCTAGCTCTTTTACTCAAAGGTGGAACCAACAAGAGACAAAATCAATAGGCAAGCGAGGCAAAAGCCAACCCACCGTGAGAACGGATGTGCCTGCTGAGGTTGCTGCTGTTCTGGAAGATCTTACTGCAGATACTGCACTGATAGACTCGCTTGTGCTCCCCAAGCTGTTTTATCAGCTTCCGCCGAATACCATGTCTACTGGAGAGAATTAAACTTCTTTTGAGGGACATGGTGTTTTGGTGATGAGCAAACCTACTGGATTAGAGAAAGAAAGGCAGGGACTGAAAGATATCCCACGGGTTGCAAGGAAGAGCCCCACCAGCTGGAAAAAGCTAGAAGAGTGTTAGGCTCAGCTTCTAGCAGGAGGGAGGGGGGCCTGGAGCTTCCCCCACCCCCTGAAAGCAGCAGATGTCAGAGCCCAGCTCACTCCACATGATCTTCACCCAGAGCAAACGAGGCAGAAAGCAGCAGCCACCAGCCTCAGAGATTCTCTTTGCAGGCCCCTCAGAGGATCATAAAGGATCTGTTCTGCATCTCCTCTGGAAACACGAGCACTACTTCAGCTCAGGAAGCTCAGCAGCTGGCATGCAAAAGCTCTGTATGATAAGAGGGCAGCAGGCCACCAAGCAGCAGCACTGTTCCATCTCCCTGCACAACCACCCACTGCAAAGCATCTTTGATGGCTCTGTATCTGTTAAGGACTTCAATATAGAGCATTACTAACCAATTTTGAAAAATCAAGTGGTTTATTATACAAAAAATAGTTCAAAATGCCAATTTTACCAAGAGAAAAAGACATAAAAGAACCTAAATCAATCAAATTATATTTAAGTCTTCCTGAGGTTCTGTTATACTGTTTGTCCCTCCCACTGCTCCAAATCTCAAGTATGACACGCACAAATCAACATGTAATCACTGATGAGTTAAGATGACAAAAAAGAGTGAATAATAATAATAGCAGCATAATTTTTTAAGGAAAAACCTGCTTTACCACCAACATCCAATGTAAGTAATATTCCACCTTGTAGCTGCAGGAGGCTTTTGGAATCGCATTGAACAAAAGCAGTACCACAACGGAAGATGAAATGCTCATGGCTTATGCTCCAAAATTCTCTTACCAATACCTCACCATCTGTGCACTATCCTCCAGTGCAGAAGCCATCTTTGTGGCACTCAAAGTCAGCTCTTGTAGCAGCAGCAGCAGCAGACAATTTTACACCAATAAAAAAGAGCATCTGTGTGCCCAGAAGCTGAGGAGAGTTGTAAGATGCTACATAATCTTAATTAATCCTAAGAGGAAATTCTGCATCCCAGAACACTTACTTCGTCACTGAACTGATGCTATTTGTGGTGCTAGGCACCTTTCCTAAAACCAATTCCATAATTCTCTCTTCTGCAGCTGAAGGAAGGGCCACCTCTTCTGGTGGGACCTCAGTTACAACGTCAGCTACATGTTCCACTGCAAACACATAATAAAAAATACAGCATCAATGTGCACAGCCAGAAATAAAACCTCGAATGCAGAATCTGTAACGAGATGTACCACTAAACACATTATTTGTAGACAGCATCTCCTGAAGAGACACAATTTCTTACATTTCCAACCTATTACTAAAGGAGCGGTTGACTATGCATCATTAAATTTCTTACCAGAACTTCCCTTGCAGGGAGGTAAGGCCCTGAAAAAGGCTCCTTTCAGGTGTAAGCCTTATGCTAAAGAGAGGAAGGTATCTCTTCTTGAGAGGGAGGATACTTTCTTGTTCCTTCTTGCAGAAAGATAGGCAGCTTTCTCATACCCACTATCCTGTGTTTCTCTGGGCCTCTATTACTAAAACTATCACAGAAGAATGCAGACAATCTAAGTGTAGGGGCTGCAACATTCAGCGTAGACAAGGCTCTCAGAGATAATTAACAAAGTCTGTAAATCCTCTGTTTTAGTCATCTAACAAAAAAACCTCCACCTTGTCCCTGTGCTACTTTTTCAGCCTTTCTCAGAAGGCACCAATACAGACGTATGTGGGGATATGTGCTCACCATTTTCTTAAGTTTTGGTTTACCTGAAGAATCTTCATCTTCAACAATGACAATGGGGGTTTCTGCTTTTGCTGTTTTGGGTTTTCTTCCCCGCCTGGCTCTCCGCTTCGAGTCCGTGCTGGCACTGGCTGCCTCACAAACCCCTGGCTGACCCACAGGGGGACCCTCGGCTGCCTTCTCTGCAACAGCCTCATTTTGGCTGGCTTGAGGGGCACCTTTAGCTTGTTCCAGGTGACTCAGCAAGTGCTCTGCATGGAGGGGAAAGAATAAGACAGTACGGAGGAAAGGACATGTCATAAAATACTCGAAAGGATAGATCCAGATTAAGCCTATCTATCAGCACAACCTCACTTAGCAAAGACTCACTTCAAATCATTTCAACAGCAGTCACAATACCTTCCTAAATAAAAGCATACCATCTATTAAACATTGCAACTATTACTCACAGGGACAGAATTTTTTTAGAGAACACTGTAAAAGGGTTGTGCTCCCTGATAATGGGTTATGTTTTTCCAAATGCCCAAGTTATTAAGCACCTAAGTCCCCTTTTCAAAAATGACTCATCAAATGGTCAGAGCTCTTAAACATTTTAAATTCTTTTGAAAACTGCATAAAATAACTGCAAACGAAAAGCAGAAAAAAAATATGTATTTCATTACCTTTACTAAGTCTGTGCCATAAATACCAGACAGACAATATCACTAAGTATAAGCTGGTATCACTGAACTTATACACTGCTCATGCAGCTCCCCATCCTTGATATTCCTCACACACATGTCATCTTCTAGACAACAGTTTTATTTCTCCTAGATGCAACATCACAGTCATTTGCCCAGAGACTGACCACTGCTATATCCACCATTTTACTATTTTACCCTCCCTGCTACTCTTTTTCTCAAAGGAACACAAAAATTAGAACCTGCATCTTACTGCACCATGGCTTCACAGTGTCCTGCTCTCGAAGAGCAGAACTGTCCTGATGCCTCTCAGTACTCTCTCATGAATTTCTAGCACTTCTTACCTGTCAGCAGCTGAGGCTCCTGGAAAGCAGATGAACACACTTTACATGTCCACTGGCTGGACTCTGCTTTTGAAGCTCCACTGCCTTCTGGAGCGTTCACTAAATCACAACAAGGAGAAACACTAAAAAACTTTGAAAAAGGGAAGGTGGTAAATCCCTGTAGCTTTGTTCATCTTGCAATAACTCCTAGACTATCCCAAGTTATAATTTAAGCAGTATGAGGCCCACAGGGGCAGCTGGGACCACTTCAGAATTTTCCAAATGTGAACACTCAAAACGTCACAACAGACGAGAGGTCAGAATAGAAACTAAATGATGCCAGGAGAGAGTATCAGTGTCCTTACAAAGCCCTGAGGGTTTCTTTATCACTTTTTCTAAAGAGCTTTGACTATCAAAGGCACAACATAAAGCAATTTTTAGCACCTTTAAAACTGGGGTTACCAGTACTTTTCTGGGTCAGATGAGGATGGAGGCAGGAGAAGCCTCCTTGCTCTCTGTGAAGAGCATTGCAGAGTAGGGACATTTGGAGGAATGGAAGTAAAGATGAGGTCAATGAAAGTCTGGGTTTGAGCAGTTTTATTAATTAGATGTTCTGTGAAACCACCATATTAATGTATTAATTAGCATACCAGCTCACATCAAATAAAGAAAATAAAGAAGAATTTAGGATGGAAATGGAAGTGGAATGAAAAAAAGAAGATAAGAGGAAAAAAGTTACTCTGTTCTCAGCCCTTTGCCTTTAAGTCCTTGGATGAGATGTCTGAATTTGTGAAGAGGATCTTTTAAGTCTGGACTGGTTCAGAGATTTTTCTGGAACATACAAAGGTGAATATTCCACAGCCTACAAGACTCCTCTAGAGGAGAAGGACAACACTGAAAGTAGGTTAAGTGAATGGCAGCACTGGAGATTCAGACTGCACCTCAGTTTCTGCCACAGATTTCCTGTATGATCATTAGCAAGTCAGTTCATCCCTCTTTGCCTTAGGACGCCATCTGTAACAGGATGATAAAAATACCTCCTCCTTCTCACTGCTGGTTCTTAAGCCAAAATAAAAGATTCTCTGAGACAGAGGTTGATCCCTGCTACAAGTTAAGTTCAAAGCTCTTCATTAAAGAGGTTTGAGTTTATCCATGCTGTAATAAATAAGAAGCAACGAGCAACAGAAATGCCTTCTTCAGAGGCTACATAAATGACTTCTGATCTTGAGATATTTCAAGTCTGGGAGGCCCAAACCACCAAACCTAAACCCCAAGATTCTGTATAACTTAGAGAGAAACAAAAAAAAAAAAAGAGTCACATTGGTAAGCAAGATGTAAGCTACTGTATCTGCCTCATGAAGCTGCAGGCTAGTAAAACTGAAAAAGCAGTATCTGCAAAACCAAAGTCTGTCTTGGAAAATTGTCCCTGACTCTGCACTTCCCTTGCTCCATAGCTGCCTCAGGCAGTAAACCTAGAAACCCTAGTTATGCACTGATTTGCCAGGAAGAGTCAGGTCCTGATTAGGTTCCTACTTTTTCAGGCTTCCAGGGAGGCTGCAGCACAGCCTAGTTTACTTGGAAGCACAGATCTGTCTGTTTGCAAATGCTTTGTAAGACTTGAGGCAAAGAGTCAGAATCAAAAGAGGCATATTTTATTTTGGAAACATAGAAGCACTACATCAGTGGGAACACTCTAGAGCTCCCAAAGTATAATAGGCAATGTTTTGTTTCTATTTCAGACAATAGGATGAAGGATGTAGGAGGAGCTGTTCAAATTCTTCATAGTTTCCCCCCCAAGTAGGAAAAATAAATTATACCAAACTGAAAGACAGCTCCCTAGACAACTTCATGTTCTAGCTGTGACGGTATCCAAGTTCAAGGGATGGAACTTCTGATGAATTGCTCTCTACACACGTGCAACAACTCTGCTCCTCATCTCCTGACTACTTTTAGTATTACGAAGCAAAATTTAGAAAAGTGACCTTTCCAAAGAACAGACCCAGAATGGCTTTCTTTTGATCCTGATCTCCACGCTACATACTCTGAGTTTATTTTTAGATGTGGCAACTTGTGTTAAGTGGGTTCTTAATTTCATTGCTGCACTTATCAGAGATTACATGGTGCGGGGAGCATTGCTTCATAATTGACCTTGGGGACAAAGTTCCTATGACACCAGTGGTTATTTCCTGAGCCACGTGTTCTTTGCCAAGAGTACCTGTATTGCTTATAAGTTAATTTAAATTTGAGTTCCTGTAATCTCAAATAGTCTGAACTATAATATAATGGTATAATGGTATAATTATAATTTGGGGGTGGCCAGTGTTTTTGTCAGTCCCGAACAGCACTGTCCTTACATTCACTCACAGTCTCATGTTTTCTTCCTGAACCTAATAATTTAGATTATCACACTTTTGACTCTGAAGATTTTCTTTGCAACTGCTCCCACCCCAACACTAATCACCTCCAAAATCAGGATCAGTTGTGCTTTTTGTGAAGAACATCTGCCTACAAGTTTATCATTCCCTCTGTCACTCTTTAACCTGCTGTATCAGGTCTGGCTGAGCTGATTTTCCCATTGCAGCCCTCATGGAGCAGTGCCTTTGTGCTGGGAGTGAGAATGGTGTTGGTAACACCCATGTTGTGACTGCCACTGCGCAGTGCTCGCACAGCACCAAGGCTCTTTCTATAGTGGGGGCAGGAGCTTGGGGGGAACATAACCAGGACAGCTGACCCAAACTGACCAAAGGGCTATTCCATACCATATGATGTCAGCTCAACTATAAAGGAGGAGGAGGGGTGGCTACTCCTTGGTCCTCTGGAGCAACTGCTACGCATTTTGGAGCCCTGCTTCCCAGGAAGGGGCCAGCTGATGCAGGAAGGAGAGAATACATCTTTGGGGTTTTTTTTCTTCGCTTCCACATGCAGCATTGCTTGCCTTTTGCTTTCTAATTAAACTGCCTTTGGTTTTACCAGAATGGGTTTTGTCTAAACCAGAAGGGGTTTTGTCTCCATCTTATTTCCCTTTCCCCTTCTGCTCTGTGGAGGAGGGAGAGGAAAGGGGGAGGGTGATAGAGTGGCTTGGTGGTCATCACTTGCTCAGCCAGGGTTAACCCACCACACCTGCATATGTACTTTAAACACCATGCTCAGGAACATAAAAATAAAAATCCAGACTTTCAAATCATCTTTAGATTAATATTTTCTGAATTTTATATATATTATATAACCATAATATCTGTGTAGAAGTGGTACAGCTAACAGTTCCTTAGACCTATGTCTGTCCACTATCTCCCTTAAAAATACTTTTATTTTGCATACCTGCTGGATCAGTTGCTGGTATGCTGGATTTCTTTGTTTTTTTATGGGGAATGACAGCAGACGAAGATTTTGAAGAGATTTTATTCCCCTCTTTATCAGATTCCATCACTACCAAGCACACATCTGTTAAGAGAAAAAACAGTTCATTTTCTTTAGTTTCCAAACCTTTTGATTCTCTTGCTTTCTGCTGAGGGCAGTAACCATAGTCAGAAACTTTTTCCCTATAGCAGGCTTGCAAAAAACCAAACATTCTCATGTAAAATCCTACCCAGGACATTGTTAAGCCTGAACACAATGTGCCTTTCATAGTTTGGAGTGTGTATGAAAGTGCTTAACAGAGAATGTACCTAAACATTAGCAGGATGCACCTAGACAATATTTTAAAATACCTATATGCACACAAAAATACATGAATGGGTTAAACTAAAGAGGAAAAACATGAAACCTCTCAATACCAACGGGAAACATTTTAAAATTCAGAAACCTGTTAACTGCATTGATTCAGCTGCAGTGCTTAAGACTGTGCTTACCATCAAGATCAGCCATGAAGCACACTAATAGCAGTGGCCTTTCTCCAAGCCATTTGCCACCCCAAAATTACACTCAGTGTAGCAGTAATACCACTCAGGGAGTAATCTCAACTCAAGAGCAGAAAGAAAATGCTCTTGCAATGCTAAAGGATCGTGCCTTTTAGCTGTAGAAATGCAAAAGTAGAAGAAAACGAAGGGGCAGAGGAACAAACGACTTCCAGCAATTCCAATTCAGATTCTAAAAAACCCACTCCCTTTCTTTGCCAATGCATGAGCAATCATGTGGAATGGCAGTTCCTTCGTGAGCTTATCTTATGGGTTCTATGGAAGGCTGCATAAGATAAAAGTAGGGTTTTATAACTGTGTAACAGTTCCTGCATTTTTTCACTACATTTTCACTACAGCTGAAAAATAATGGCTTTAGCAAATCTGCATACATTCAGACTTACACTGACACTTGGGTTCCTTTGCTCTTCTACCCAACAACGGTCTCGATGTAACCACCAGTTCTTCAGTTAAGAACTACTTATCCAGTTTGTTCACTCTGAAGAAGCTGGATCATCAGTTAGGCCATCTGCTTTCAAAACCTCAGACATATCAAGGTGAAGAACCTATGCTTTCTTCTTGTAGGGCAACCACGTATGCAGGTTAGTCTGACTCTAAAGGCTAACAAACTCAGGGTCACAGCCTATCTGATAAACAGCACTGTTAACTACAACAGTAGGGGACTATCAGTCCCTATTAGGACTGGGCCCCTAGGAAGGAAAAAAAGGCCCCCCACACATACCATTGGCAATACTAGTGACCTGCTTCAGCACTGGCTTTTCCATTTTTTTGGCGTAAAAAGCTGCATACCACACTCGCAGCTCAGTTCCTGGTGGGATGTCCCGGGAGGTGGTGAAGTAAATATCATTGTCATGCTGGAAGGCAGTTAAGTTTTGATGCTCATATTCGGTGGCTGGTCGCACCATCATCATCCAGTTGCAATCATCTTCATTTGAGGTGTCAAAATACACCAGGGGCCTGTCCTTCTGGAACACCTGCCAAGCAAAATATGCCTGTATTAAAACCCTAACAAATAACACAAAGCGAAGAAGAATTTTGATCTTCTGCTTTTGCAATGGCTTCCACTCAAGGCATGTTAGAGACAAAGAAAGCTTCAACACTTGAATCAGGCATGTTTCACATAGCACTCGCATCTTCAGATGATTAAGTCTGGGACAGACTACCAGGGGCAAGAGAGGAAAAAACTGAACTTGTAACCTAAGAGTTCTTGCGATAGCTACCAGCTCCTCACAAAATTTGAATGACTGAACACAGGAGAATGGAGGGGAACCCAAACAGCACACTGTGAAATACCTATCAGCCTGAGTTGCATTTCCAGATCTTTACTTCCCATTTAGGTTCTATTGAAAACTAAGAATTAAATTTTTGCTATAGCATTCTTCTTGCCAAAACTTGTAAAGAGAATACAGCAGATGGAAAACAGAAAAAAAAATATTTATTCCGCATGTTTCATAAAGGTAATGTGTATGTTGCTCATGAGGCAAATACAATCAAATTGAAAAGACTCATTAAAACAACCCAAGTGAACTGCCATAGTCATTGTTCCTCTTGTACCATCATGTGCAGAAGGTGAAAGCCAAGCAGTTCTGCTGACTGTATCTGAGCCCCATCTCCTACGAGGATGTTCACTTCAAAGATGAAGAACGAGCCTCTTGTTTGGTTCTTCTGTATCTTGCCCAGAGAATGGTTCTTTAGATAGTCCATTACAGCACATGCCTAAAAGATGTCCCAGATACACCCCCCCCCATTTTTTTTTCCCCCATAGTGTTAGCATAAATTCCTCACAGATAAAACTGGCTGCTTTATTTATGTTATTGCTTTTCATGTGCTGTGTCTTACCTTCAGGGGAAAAACCGATTCTTTTTCCAGCTTGGCAACTCTCTTGGATTCAAATGGGCCAAACTGGGTCCGCTTCACTAGCTGCGTCAGAGCAAACACTCCTTCAGTCCCATCTTCCAATTGTCTTATCTCCAAATTAGAAGGCAGAGATGATCTAAAAATTGGAGAGAATTGAGGAAAAAAAAAAGTTACACATGGGACAACACTGCAGGAAGTCACTGAAGAAAGAAGTCACCATCTGTTTCTCTAACCTCCAATGGCAGCAGTGTTCTGATCAACACACACCTGTGAGGATTTATAAAGAAACAGAGGCAAACAACTAGCAGTAGTGGAGAAGGGCCAAATCAGTGATTACTTGAGAGAGCTCAGTCCATGTAAGTCCAGGGAGCTGACAGGCTGCACTGGAGGGTGGTGGCTGAGCAGTTCAATGCCAAAGCCAGAGCACTCTCTATCACCTTGGAAAGATCGTGGCCATCAGGGGAAGTCCCTGATGACTGAAGAAAGACGAATGTTGCACCCATCTTCAAAAAAGACCAAGAGGATGATAGAAGGAACAAGTTGGTTGATGTCACTTCAGTCCATGGGAAAGTCATGGAAGAAGACCTTTTAGGAGGCTTTTAGGGCCACATGAGGAGAAGGTGACTGGAAACAGTCACCACTAATAAATTAAGGGCAACTCATGCCTGAAAAACTACCTTCCAGGATAAAAAGACCAGGTTTGTCGATAAGAGAGCAGTGGCTCTCACTTCCCTTGACTTCAGTAAGGCTTTCAATATTATCTCTGCATCCAAGTTGGGATGTTATGGTCCCAGTGGGTACACCACTACTGCAGTAAGTAACTTGTTGGGTAGTCATGACCAATGGTGGTTTACCTGGAGGCCACAACAGCCAGTGTACCACAGAGGTCTGCGCTGATACCTGTACTGTCTAACATCTTTATCAAAGACCTAGAAGGGGCAACAGAGTACACTCTCATCCAGTTTGCAGGTCACACTAACTGGGGACACATTCCATATGTCTGAAGGCAGGATTGCTATCCAGAGGGACCTGGAGAGCCTGAAGGGATACACCAGTAGGAACCAAATAAAATAATTCTGAGAAAGAATGCTAAGTCCTGCATGTGGGAAGGAAGAACCCCAGCCAGTGCCATCACCAAAGAAAAAGACCCTAGGGGTGGCAGTGGGCATCGAGCTGGACATGAGGCCTCAGAACATCCCAGCAACAAAGTGGGCAAAATGCATCCTGGATGGTATGAACAGGAGCAGCCAAGAGATTGAGGCAAGTGATTGTCCTCCCTTGCTCTGCACTTGCTAGAGCCTATCAATCTATTGCATCCTGTTTTGGCTCCCAGTATGGCAAAGACAGTGACAAATTGTAGTGAGCTCAAACAAGGACCACCAGGATGGTCAAGCGCTAGAGCAGTTACCCTGTGGGAAAGGGCTGGGGAAGCAGAACTCAATCAGTCTGGGAAAGAGATGGCTGTGTGGGCCCAAACAGCCACCTATGCACACCTACAGGGACATCATCGAGATGGAGGAGTCAGGCTCTTCCCAGAGGCCCATGGCAAGAGCAGAAAAGACAACATGCATAAAAATGAGCAGTTCAGCCTGGATGTTAGTTCCGACTGGAATATCCTGAGGCATCTCCAAAATGAATTATCCTATGACTCTACAGATCTTTGGTTATAATCATACTTATTTTAAAAAATAACCTATATTCCTCCCCCAGCTAACACCTTACATTCTTAGGCAGATCACAACCCTGAAGATGAAAGCCCTGGAAGTTTTCCTTCCATCTTCTAGCCCACTTACTTCAATCATTGATACATTGATCACAAGTGCTTCTCATTTACCAAAAAGAAGAACTATATGTAGTAAATATTGTTATTACATATAAGACAGAGAAAATCCACAAGAAAAATTGCATGACTGGAACCACCACATTGGTTTTATACACAACAAATGCAACCCTGTTTTTCAGGTCTGCGCTAACAGATGAAAAGCTAAAAAAAAAAAAAAAAATCAAGACAAGCTACTGACTACTCCATAGTTGACACTGACAGATCTGCTTTCTTGTCTAGATGAAGTGAAATTAAAAAAGATTGCAGTCACAGCAATAAGCAAATGTATTGAAAAAATGTTTTCAGTTTCAATAACAGAATATGCAATGTTAGAGACAGTGAAGTCTAGGAGGTGTTTCTCAACACTTGTTTTCTAACCACAAAGCATTCATTTTATCTTTTCAGTAGGATAAAGGAAACAAGGATCATGCGGTTAAACAACTAGATTGGTTTTTAAGAGATTCATATCCAGTTTGTGGTTAAACTTGCCTTCAACCTCAGACAACTCACTCTCTCAGCTGCTGTTTGCTCAATGACAAAAAAAAGGCAGCAATTACATTTCTTCTTCCCTTTCTTACCTTCCTTGTTTTCAGCTGTAAACTCTGCAGGAAAATAAATACATTTTTCTGAAACAACCATTTTTAAACTCTGCTTTCAAACCCACCATCCAGCAGCCCACACTTCAACTTACCATCTGCATGTCAACAAAAACCTGATAACCAGTGCATGCACTGTATTTGGAAACGTTCACAGTTAGAACACCTGGACACTGCAGTAATTCTCCACCATACAAATAAATAAAAGCATCAAATTGCAAGGAAAAAAAAAAAGATAAAAGGTAAGAAATAACAGTTTAATTTGTTCTTGAATCTGCTTAGTACAGGTTAGAGACTTAGAGCACTGCCCAGGCCCAGTTTTTGTGTGTAAGAAAAGCACCTTCATCACAAGTATCTATTATTCCTACAGGCATCCTGAAATTATCCTCAAGAACAAAGCACCTCTAGTGTCAGGGCTGTTAAGACAGGAGTCCCCATTAACACTTGCTGCAGGAGATCACCCATGACAGATTTCCAGGCACAGGAAGGTGGTGCCTGGCAGGAGCAGCAGTGAGTTTTCTTTTTTGGCCTGGAAAACTGGCTACAGCTCCTGCACACATGGAGCCAGTGTACACTGTGTACACCAAGAGAGTCCTGCCCAGGCAGAGAGTGATCACGGGACCGGCATGGCAGGCCCAGAACATTCAGCAATTGTTACAGAATGATCCCAGGACTGCACAGGATGGCCGACACAGCCAGCATGTGTCAGACTTGCTGCCCATTTTTTCTGTCCATAACTTCCCAGGAAGAAATACAAAAGCCTAAGCATGTTGTATAACACATGAAGAAGACAGTTGAACCCTTCCATTTTTGCATTTGTACTGCATCTTCACAACAGCTGTTTCTTCTTGTTAGCCTTACATTTTACACTTGAGAATGCCCAATTGTCTTCCTCTGTAAAAATCACTGCCCAGTGTTGTTCTCTCCTAACTAGATTTAGTCTATTTGTTTCTTTTGGCAAGTGAGGATGTTTTTGCTGTGCTGTCACAGATATTCTGACAGAAGCATTACCCCTAAACACTCATAAAGACTCACAATAATGAGGAACAACTTGCTCTGCTTCTCAGTGGAGGATCTAGAGGTTAGATCAAGCAGGAGGACCCAACATTCATATGAACGAGAAATCCTCACACACTTCTCTGAAACCAACACGGTACATTTGAGGAAGGGCAAAAGTTGCAGGTACTTGACCAAGACAGAAGACATCACCCCATCTGGAACTACGTGACTTTTTGCCAGAAACCTCATCAAAGAAGCAAAGCCCTGATGAACAACAAGTTATTTTTTAGCTTCAATTCAAAAGAGCACTTCAGTGTTGAAATGCTGGGGTTTGAACCCCAAGCCCCGAATTAAGGTTGACGTATGGGTGATTCCCACAGCCCTTCATGAAGAGGTGGTGAGTTTGCCTTATAGCTTCCCCCCAGGGTGCGGCCGGCCCTGCAGGGAGAGCCATAAGGGAAATGAGCCCCAGGGGTCCCCCACTGAGTTGACAAAGGTCAGGTGTCTGCTTGGGGATAAAAGCTGGGACCACTGGCAGGGAGTCAGGAGTGTCTGTCTGTGGAGTGCACTCCACAGAGCGTCCTGGTTCAGGGCAGACCTCCTGACCGTCCCTGGAGCTGGGCCCCAGTCTGTTTAGACCTTTGTGAACGCGGGCCGATCGGGTGAGAGTCACTACGTGGGCACCTTTTTCTTATGTATTTAACTTACCAGTTTGGCTGTTTCCCCTGCCAACTGTGGGAAACCTCAGTCCTCTGTTTATACCACCTGTTGTGAGCCGAGTCACATCGTTTGTGGGATTGTTGGGGGATGGCATCGATCATGTATGAGCTGGTTGACCTGTTTGTACCCCTGGTGGTCATTCATATCATAATGTTTTTGTCTACAATACAGTCTACGTATTGGTTCATCTTCCTGCTGGTGCTATCATTTTTGTTGGGCCTGGTCATTGGCAAAACAAGTGTGCACATCAGCCTTTCTATTTAATCAAGGCCATGTGCTTCCCATAGATTTTTACTTCCCTTTTCAGCTGTCAGTGTGACACCCATTAAACAGCAAATACACTTTAAAGAACTGACATGGGTGTTGGGTTAGTCAGAACTAACACAAATGTTCCTTACCTTGCCCTGCTCAATACAAAAGAGTCTTTGACTGTCACCACTGGGCCCAGTTCAGGACACTCTGAATCATGGTACTGCCCACAGTCCTCACACCCTGCAAGGAAGCAGACAGCATACAGAAAGGTTGATAGAAAACACTTTTGTAAGACAGCTGCCTCCTCCTTTCAAGAGCCAAATACAAAATCTAGCACCAGGCAAAATACATATGCACAGAGTAGGATGTCTATTTATACTGCTCAAAAGGACATGTATAATTGAACATCAGGTTGATAGGTGACATCCGTATAGGTGAGATAATGCACATCATAATCAGTATGATCTGAAGACAGCTGGTTAAATAGTCTCTCAAAGGAATATCACAGCTTTACATCTACAGTAAATATTCTGCTTAAAGATGGCATAACTCTTCAGATAATGTGCTGTAACATCTAGCAACTAAAGCAAACCACGTTACTACCTTCACCAGAACTCAAGCTTTTAGAAACAGCTTTGGCAGCATGGTCTTCTTAGCGGCAGGAGAGACAAACCCAGTATCAGCAGCAGGACCAGCCCAAGGTCTGAGCAGGGCACGAGCACACTGTGGGAGCTCAGCTCTGTCCAGAGCCAGGCCTGATCTGCTCACCCTCCGCACCCACAGCGCAGGGACGTGCCTCTGGTGCTCCTCCAAACTACTCAGCTTACCAAAATTCACTTCTGGTTTAAGTGACTGTAAATTACTCAGAGCTAAATAGTTCCTATGAAACAATTTTCAAACCAGGATAATTTGAGGCTTTCTAAGCCAACTTAACAGGATTTCAAACGCATCGACATTGCTTCACTGTGAAAAACAAGCTTGTCAAACTGCCCTGCCTGGTCAGCTGCTGATGCAGCTGAACAAGAGACCATTACACAGGTTTTATATTCCTATAGTGCAACTTCCATCTCAGCTCCACACTCACAGAAGCAGGTCAGGTAACACCAGTAAGGATGTACAGCAGAGGGTGGTTACACCTTGTTTGGGAAGAGAACAAGACAAAAGCTACGTCATTCCAGGGTATGTCCCTTCTGGTAAAGCAACTCTGTACCCTAACTGGAAAGGTCTCCCTCCCACTATTTGTCCCAGTGAACTAACAATAGGAGCTCTTCTAAGATGTGGAAAAGGGACCCCAAACTACAATGCACAGCTCCACATTGTTTCTTCTTCTGGCAACAAAACCAGCTTAGCAGTGAAAATCCACATACACCTGACAAACAGCAGTACCAGCTCATGTGACACTCAAAGCTGGCTGCTGCTTCCTGCATGGCCATTTGTGCTGCCTTCTGGTGAACCAAGGAATGAAACAACCAGTTTTTCCCATCAGTTTACTTTTCAGCTGAATGAACTTCCCAGACAAGTTTGCTGTACGGCACCAGGCAGCTCTATCAGAGGAAAGGATCTGCAGGCAAGTGCTATCCACATAGCATCAGCATCAAAACTAAGCCTACAGCCAAATGGCCCCCTCCATCCTGAACTGCTAATAGTACCACGAGCCCCCTTAGGTGTCCCTGTAGCCCACACCATGCTTAGTATTACTTAAATAATCTGGGCTAAATACAAATTTCCAAACCCAAGAGGACAGAGGAGCCACAGAGGAATGTGTAAACCAGACTGGATTATCAGCCACAAAGGGCTGTCATAACCAATAAGGACAGGAAGGAACAGCCAGAGCAGCAGCTTTTTAAGTGGGCTGTTCTGCCAAAAGCAACAAAGCACTTTGTCACCCCCATCTTTTGACTGCACCTCCACAGCCCTCAGTTCTGCAAAGATAGCCACTGCATGGGTTCAACAAAGTGCAAGCAGCACTGTCCAAAACCACATGCAGGAATAAGCTACCCATTTCTCTTCTTTGCAGAGGAATGATCAAAGCAAGGGGAATATGATACTGACATTGTGTAGCACATCTCTCAAAATCTAAGGGGTGCCTTACAGCAGACATCCCCCAAGGCTGTTACACTCGCTGTATGTGACACTTTCAAGTCATAGCAGAAATACAAAACCAAACATGGGATAAACAGTAAAATGCCCTGGGGGGAATAGATTCACAGATTTCTACACAAATATTCCTAAACTCTCTTGCATCTCCAAAATACACATTCAATGATGTCAATTATAGGATTGTACAGTATCACTTATAACAAGTAACTTTTCCAGAACATTAGCAGTCCCCATATCCCACAGGAGAAACTTACAAAGAGCACAAGAAAGCTCAAGAAATTCAATGACCACAGCCTCCACTGGAAGGGGCAAAATCATGTTGTGTGACACCGTCTATCTGTGCAATTAGGGAATGGTATCATATCCCCATCCTTGCTGCTGTCCACCAGGGTCTTTTTATGAAGGGCAAGATAAGGTAACTTCACTACTGGGATCTGCAACTCAATTATGTCAACGCTGTTTTAGAAGGAATCCTGGTGAAGGGGTGGTGGAGGGAAAAGTGGAACTTTCTGATACAGCTGCCATATGGTAAATGCGCAGCTGTGGAACTACCATGACTAAAAGACTGTGGATCCATACTGCAAAGATATATAATCCATTCTGCTCCTCCCAGATCAGATTCACAGTATCCGGGCCCTCTCTGCTCATACAAGTAGTTGAGTGGACTGTACACCTCTTAACCTTTCTCCACTATAACACCAGATCCTGCATGTGCAGGCTGGTGACAAAGGAGAGGCCACAAGGCTAGCACACCACTGCAAAACAAGCCTACTTGCTCCATGAAGCATGGGCCACTGCCCACCACACTCCCTGGGGACGCCACCGCTGCAGCCTCTCTTCACGTGCCACGACCCCATGAATCCAGCCCTCGGGCCATGGAGCCCAGCCTGGCACAGGGGGACACAGAGAAGGCACATCACAAAGCCAAGCTGCACAGCTGCACGAAGCGCAGGCCTAGCAACAGGGGCACAAGGAAGCAGTGAATGCCCCAAGTGAGACTTGTCAGGGCAGTCACTGCACCTCACACTGGGCTTATCCAGGGAGAATAACAAGCCTGCATCCTCCTCGGAAGGTGCAGATCTTCAGCTCAGGCTAGAGGTCAGAGTTCCCCATAGACACCCCTGGTTGCTAAAGCTGGCTGCATAAACTAATGGCGTAGACTAGTGATAGGCCTTCAATCTCACCATGAAAAACCTGTTCTGCCATCTCACATTCAGAGGTCTCTCTGTGTGTTTGCCAATAAACCCAGAAGAATGCGTAGGCTTAAAATGAGCAACCTTCTCTCTACTCTCCCCTAAGCTGTTTGAGCTTCCTTCAAATAAATACTTTTCTAAGCAAAAACTTAGTCTCTTTTAGACTAATTTCAAACATTTATACCTTGTAGACAAGTCACACCATGAGAGTTAGATCATTTTCCTTTCTAATACTTACAAATAAATATAAGCTCATCATTGTCATCTTCAGTCATTTTTTAAACCTGCCAAAACACAAAAGATGAAGTTAGTTCTGAATGACTTTTACTTTCCGTATTATTGAAAAATCCCTTTATAAAGTAATGATGTTGACTAACCCAGAGCATACCCAAACACGTTACTACCCACACAAGAGTACCAATGGAAAGCTAAAGAAATTAAGGTTGCTAAAAATCCTCCAGTGACTGCTGTATCATTACATGTGCTGCTGAAATCACTACTAAGAAGCCTATACACCTGTAGGTTCACAGGTGTATAGGCTTCTTATTGTCTCTGAGGCAATGCTGTCTTCTGCTGTTCCCCATCCCTAACTCTCGCCAAGCTCCAGCCATTCCTGTGTACCCCCTGCTACAAGCTCCTGTGGAGCCTCAGAACAAGCAGGACCAGAGGATTATTCCAGGCCAGCAACAACCACTGCAGAAACAAGGTCCATCTGGTTCAGCACATTTTATTGAATAATATCTTAAAAAACTATCTCTGAGGGGCAGATTACTTATTTAATAAACAAAAAAGCCCTTAACAACCTAAAAACTGCAAATATGATCACAGACTTGTTCCAAAGGCAAAGGTATACTGTGGTAATAAGCATCAAAAAAACTGGGAAAACGAATATCATCTCTGTCATTTACCTTCCATGTAATGGTAACTGACCAATTTGCTTTCAAGCATAAAATAAGGATAATCTGTGTTCTCTTTTGTAAACCAGTTTTGGTAGTACTTATTAAAAACTTGCAAAAACACTATCCATTGTTCCTCAATGCCTAGACAATTTAAATGGTAGTTGGTAAACACACTGATAACATATAGCTAAGATCACAATGGAAGCAGGATCAAGAAGATAGTTTTCCCTTTTCCAACAATTAAAAGGCTCTCCTCTTCAAATAAGAAAATTTCCCAATGCCCCAGTGAGAGGTGAAGCAACACAAAGATCATGACCCAAATCTAAAACAGAATGAGGCTGCAGAAACAGCAAACAGGTTGGTCAATAAGAGAAGACGAAGGAATAAGACACTGAATCTGTGACAGGGAGTAGGACAGGAAACGTGACCAAAGACACACCAAGGTAGCAGAGTCCTGTTTGAAAAAAAGGTAAAGTATTTGCTACTACAACAACAAAAGCCAAGCTAGGCACAGGCACAAGCACAGCTGTTACTCAGGATCAGCGCAGGAGCAGGACGCCCTGTTCCGAGTTCACTCTTGAACACTGATGTTCCACATGCTCTGCCTGGCTGGGCTGTGGACATATGCCTCAGGATGGAGCCCGGAGCAGCAGCTCTTTCTGCACAGGTACTGGCTCTACTGACCTCCCAGCACATGCAAAGTCCCTGTCCCACACAGCCCCTTTTTCCTTCCCTGTTTCAGGCAGGACTGCACACATGTGCCATGTGTGCTGCTAACTCTACAAAGGCACCTGCACACGCCAGAGAGCAATGTCTGCTATGCAGCTGCCAGCTGCAGCCACACTCCGCTCCACCTCAGGCGGCGCTGGAGGCTACTCCCAGTTAGCAAAGCACGGTCCACCACCACAAGGAGGTGCACTGGGTGGAGAGCCAGCATGTAACTGATGGCAATACAAAGGCACATCTGGTTGCTGCAGCTCTTGGTCACAGCAGGAGTGATCTTGACACACAGTTACCTGTGAAACAGCCTAAAGATTTTGGTCACCAAGTCAGGGCACCTTGGTATTCCTCCATGGCACATCCCAAACACTGCCCTCCCCAGCTCCACTTACTATCAACAGCATGATCCCTCCTAAGAACTTCTGCTCCAGTAAGGGGCCAACATTGCTGATCTGTGGCATGAGCTACAAAAGTGGCTTGTTTTTCAAGAGGTGTACGTCCAGTTATTTGTACATAGTTTGTGTCCTGACAAAACTTTAATCCTAAATGTGTTTGAATTAATGAATACTCTTCTTGGTCAGTGGTTCAGCTACTCAGGGACGCAGTGCAGCAGGACCAGCAGTACTGCTGTGACCTGCTTGTCAAAGGCATTCACCTTCTAGGACTTTCCTGCGTCACATTCCTCACAAACAGCAGAATGATGACACATGGCATTGCAGAAGCAGCAATGTCAGTCTTGTTCTAGGGGCTGTCAGATGAGAATAGCAGCAAAGGGACAGAGAAATCATAGTAGCACAAAGGTTGTTCAAGGCGATGAGGAGAAGGCATAAAGATCCCTCAAACATACCTCACATAGTTGATAAAGACACTACAACTCATTAATTATCTGCATTAGTGCAATGTTAATTTTTGGCAGCAAGTAATTAATTTTCCACAATGCAAAATTTCTGATTCATCATTCACCTTTCCTGTGCTCAGCACGACCTGCTATGCTCCAAAATAAACAGGAATGGGTAACGTATTGTCTGTCAAATAAACTCTCACCTCAACACGCAGGTGCAAAAAGAAGACTCCCTTGCATTAGTATTTGCACTGTGTTACAAATTCCCGTGTGGGCTTCTCTGCCCCCTTCTTGCCTTACAGAAAGTGTAAGAACGGCAGAACAACCCCTAAAAGGGTTTAACAACTCTGCGTTGTGAACACATACTACTTCTCATGCACAGACTTCAAAACTACTCTCATATCTCAACTGTATTTCCAAAAAGTTTTTGAAATAAATGACATTATGCCACCTGCTCCAGCTGTTAAATGCAGTCATGAAGTGCCACAGAAGCTCACACAATGGCACTGAAGACTCCAGAGTTTTTTATCCTCATCTGCTGTTACTCTGGGTGATGTCTGATTTCTTTTCCTTTTCAAGCATTTGTATCAGAAAAATATTCCATGACATCACTCATCCTACCGCATGTAATTATGTTCTTGTCTTGCAGAGATAATGGAAGCTTCTGTGAATTCCAGGCATTTTTATATAAACCAGAAAGCAATCATCAAGCAGTGAATATCAGGTGAAAAGCAACACAGAAGAAATTAAACCACAGGTACAAGGTCTGATTCCAACAGCAGTAAAAAAGCAGAAAAATGTAATTTTTCAGCTCAGTCTCTTCTAACTAACTGCAGTTTCTGAAGGTAACGGCAGATTTTCACAGACAGCGTCCGCTTCTAGGAGGGATAAGGTTCCACATTCGGAGTCACTACCAAAGACTGGTGTGCAGAAAGACTCTTGCTTATGCTTGCTCCTGTGCAGACTGAGGTCACAGCTAAATCTTTTGTGCCACACTGGGGGTGCAGAAAGCAAAAGGTTGCCCCTGCAGGGAGGAGCGGCCAGGGCAGGGGACCCTAAACTGACTGATACAGTATTCCATCCCACAGATGTCATATTCAGTGTGAAGCTGAGGGATCGCAAGGGTCAAGTTCTCTTCTTCAATGACTGGAGGACTCTGTCTGTTCTGCCTTCGCTCCCAATCCGTGTGTTCCCGAATCCAGTTCCAGAACCCAGCTCCCGAATCCGGTTCATGCCTTCTCCAGAGTCCAGTCTGTGATTTCCCCCGTGCCTGCTCCACCGCATCAGTGGTGACGTAATTGCCATGGGGGTGTGTGTGTGTGTGTTGGGTTCTATACTGGCTTTGTATATATTGCATTTTATTATATTCAGTAAAGCTGTTTCATTTTTCTTTTCTAATCCCGAAGTCTCCCTCCCTTATTCCCTTTCTCTTTGCCTTTGGAAGGGGACAGGGGCTAACAGAGAGCACCTGTCATAGGGGCCGCCCTGACCCTAAACCACGCTCAAACTAATTGGAAACTACCTGGCACAGTATCCGGTAAACTACATTGAGACCTTATATTTCTAAAGAATTACAATCATTTTATCGCTTATTGTTGAGAAGGGGGAGAGGGACAACTTCTATGCCAGTTAGGGGGAGCACAGAGGAACAGAGCGGGTGCTGACTCTATGCCACCTGTCTTTTCTAACATATCGCGACCACGTTCACCCTGCCCAGGGTGAATAAAGCACACGCAAAGTTCCACGAATGCGGGCAGCAAACGAGCATATTGCGGAAAGCCCGTGTACGAAGCGCTGCCTTTCATCGCCCACGGCACAGCTGGAGAGCCAGGACAGCAGGGTAG